GGGGGGGGGAATATTTCCCGCATCATTATGCTTCCATTATTCTTGGATTTAAGGATGGATAATAGATTTAGACTGGGTTACAAATGAGCATTGATATATTCAAAGAAATTATGCCTAAAAATATCCTAAGAGATTAAACTTTTAAGTGAAGTAGGTTTTATTGGTAATATTTGAGCTAAGATTCCATCATTTTTGATAATGTACAAGATTTAATATTTATGTTTACGTAATATTTAACTGGCTTATAATTTCCTTTGGTTGCAACATTATGATTCAATTTTTTAAACTCTAGCAAAAGAGTAGGTTGTTCAAACTCATTCTATAGTTTGACCATTAGCAGAGTCAGGCTTGAACTCTAAACATGCACGAGTAAATTATATTTTATACATTTCTGCAGAAACTAATGATATAGAAGTAATTACCTGTCAGCAATTGCTAAAACGATCCCCGCATCAGTTTTTGGAAGTAAATCCCCAGAAAATCTGGGAAGAGTGATCTCGAAAAGTGCTTCTGCAATCTTCAAGCATTGAAGTTCTTTAGCACATCAATATAATCCTTTTACTGCAGTAGAAATTTGCTTTGATATCTTTTTACATTCAAGCTTGTGAAAGATGAGTCATTACGAATTAAGTATGTTCCATCATTAAATAAAATAAACACAAACAATGAAAAAATATAGAAAGGAAATTATAAAATTAAAAAAGACAATACAAGAAAATTGTACTAAACATGACTTGTAAAATAATGTTTTGAAACTTTAATGATGCAATAACAGAATCCTTGGCAATGCTTTGCAAGGCCAGATTTAAAGATACGGCTGTAAAAGCAAAAGAACAATGATAAAAAGAGGCTTATTAGACGTAATAAGGAGATTTATACCTTGGAGCAAATTAATCGATTGTCTTATACAGCTCTTGAATCACATGGGCAAGGAAGGTATAAAGCAAACACGTAGGTGGGGCAAAAATAGCTGATTAAAAACATGCTAGAGCGAAAGAACTGAAATATTCAGTCATAAAGCTCCCAACATACCCAGATATTTAATTAAGTATTGAGTTGCAGGAATACAAATAAACCTTTAAAGGGGTGTTTTTTATAGAGCATCTGAAAATCAATTATTACAAAAATTTAAATAAACAAGGACTATAAATTATCAACAGATCATAGATGAGTCGAATAAAAGGTCAGGTATCAATGGAGGGAAAGGGTAGCAGGAAGTCACTTTTTGACAACATTTGAAACATATAGAGCTCACAAATTTTTGGATTTGAAGCTGCGATATCCTTTAAAAAGGAATTGTTAGCCTTCCATGTGCACTAGAAACAAGGAGGGTCCAAGTTCCAACAGGAGCTATTTTTCAGGAGTTTGAAAATACGGTAATGTACTAACAGTAGGAAGAAGCTAATAATGCTCTATCTCAAGTGCTTTCATATAGGTTAAGATCTCGACAAATTTTAGGCCTAATTCACTTATTAATTTATAACTTACCACCCAAGTTTCTCCTAATACATTGAAAATGATGATAAGACTCAACTTAAATCAAATGATCATTAAACTAAAACACATTTTTATTCAGTATATTTTAAACTGAATCCAGGTTTCAACATTTGTGCATATTGTAAATTTGAAATACAGTATATTTTAAACTGAATCCACATATTTATTAAAATGAACAATGATAAGAAATGTTTAGAGCTTAAAAAATGTTATGATCTGTGGGATAAGTTGATCAAACCAGGTATATGATATCTATACAAATTGGACAAAAAAGGTGAGACTTAAATAATTATGATAACTTGTATGGGTGGGGCGACAAAGATGAGCCCTAAATGAATAAAAATACGTAAAGGTATTGGTAGGGTGGCGAATATGAGCCTTTATATGATGCTCATTGAACTTAGTCCCACATAAGTGACATGTTCTCAAGTTGATAGAAAATATTCGATCCTATGCTACTAATAACTAAAATAAGATAAGGGATAAATAAAATATAAAAAATTAAACTAACCTAATATCAACCATGCATAAGTCAAAAAGAATTTATACAATAACAACAACAAGAAACCATTATCCCACTAAGTGAGGTCGACTACATGAATCCTTTTCCTCCAATGCATCATATTGAGTATCATATTTTCATTTAATTCAAATATATTAAGATCATTTTTTATACAATATGCCCAAGTCTTTTTAGGTCTACCTCTGCCTTTCTTAACATAAGTCAAATCTAAAACATCTACTCTCCAATAGATGCCGGATCAGATGGTAGACGTTTAATGTGACCAAATCATCTTAGACGATTCTCTGTATCTTGTCCGACACTAAAGCTACACCAACCCTCTCATGGATATATTCATTTCACACTTTGTCACCTAAGTTTCAAGCCACTCATCCACCTAAGCATTCTCATCTCAGCAATACTTAACTTTGTTTTATTCTTCTCATTTAAAAGCCAACATTTTTGAGCCATAGAGCATTGCAGATCTCACCACCATCTTATAAAATTCAATTTAAGCAGTATTTTTCTATCACACAATAAGCCCGAAGCAATCCTCCTCTTCAACCAACTTGAATTCTACTAATAACATTCCCATCAGGTGGGGCGACAAAGATGAGCCCTAAATAAATAAAAATACGTAAAGGTATTAGTAGGGTGGCGAATATGAGCCTTTATATGATGTTCATTGAACTTAGTCCCACATAAGTGACATGTTCTCAAGTTGATAGAAAATATTCGATCCTATGCTACTAATAACTAAAATAAGATAAGGGATAAATAAAATATAAAAAATTAAACTAACCTAATATCAACCATGCATAAGTCAAAAAGAATTTATACAATAACAACAACAAGAAACCATTATCCCACTAAGTGAGGTCGACTACATGAATCCTTTTCCTCCAATGCATCATATTGAGTATCATATTTTCATTTAATTCAAATTTATTAAGATCATTTTTTATAAAATATGCCCAAGACATTTTAGGGTCTACCATTGCTTCTATTAACATCAATCGAAGCTAAAACATCTACTCTCCTAACCGGATCAGATGGTAGACGTTTAATGTGACCAAATCATCTTAGACGATTCTCTGTATCTTGTCCGACACTAAAGCTACACCAACCCTCTCATGGATATATTCATTTCACACTTTGTCACCTAAGTTTCAAGCCACTCATCCACCTAAGCATTCTCATCTCAGCAATACTTAACTTTGTTTTATTCTTCTCATTTAAAAGCCAGCATTTTTGAGCCATAGAGCATTGCAGATCTCACCACCATCTTAGCATTTTTGAGCCATAGAGCATTGCAGATCCCACCACCATCTTATAAAATTCAATTTAAGCAGTATTTTTCTATCACACAATAAGCCCGAAGCAATCCTCCACTTCAACCAACTTGAATTCTACTAATAACACTCCCATCTATATCACCATCACTCTGAACACTAGACCCGAGACATCTAAAATGTTCACACCTTTTAGTGATTTGAACACCCACATTTACAACTCAACCACTAGAGCTACTACTACAAAAATTACATTCCAAGTATTTAGTTTTAGTTCTACAAAATTTTTAGACAGTGTTCCTATAATAGTTGTACGAATTTAAAATGACATTGATATGCTAGCGATATAATAACATCTTTTGAATAATATTCAATATTTTTATTGATTTATTAAAAGATTTAACTGATATGCATCTTATTTTCTTTTTCCTTATAATGTTGTAGCTAAGGAGTTGTTTTAAACTAATTTTTCAAATCTAATTAATTGATTAAAAGAAGAGCAATAAAAGAGAAAATATTTATAGAAGATATAGATAACCATAACAAAGTTAAATACTCTATTTTAATTTATCTCGATTAGTGACTCTTTCAACTGTTAAAAAAGTAAATAAATATAAAAAATATAATTCTCACCGTCCGACCGCCTGCTCCCCTCTTGATTAATTCTAAACCCCAAGCCAGGTCTTGGCATATCCAAGTTAAAATATGACCTTGCTGCCTTTGACCAAAAAAATTAATAATGATAAATAAATTGAGAGCAAACACAATGATAATTTAACTCAAATGTTGGCATATCCAAGTTAAAATATGACCTTGTTGCCTTTGACCAAAAAAATTAATAATGATAAATATATTGAGAGCAAACACAATGATAATTTAACTCAAATGTCAAGCCTCGATCCAACATCAGACGCAATGGCATGCACTCATCAATTTGGTTTTCCAACTTTCTTGTACTTTGGAAAAAAAGAAACCCTAGCTGATCAGAATTGTTTAAAAAGGAACATTGAACTAGTGTTTGCGTGTTTGGTTTAGTTGAAAAAAAGGCTACTTGAGAAGAATCATTATATAATATTGGACAATTGGATAGCGTCTTCAAATTATTTTAGAGCATAATTTTTGTAAAATTATATTTGTTCCTAACAGGTTTCTTTTTTATGCTTTAAGAACAAAAATATAAGTACAAAAATTGTGCAATTTTAGCAAAATGTCTGTGGCGGTATTTTTGATGTTAGATTTTGAATAGTTTAAAATATGTTCTCAGGCAAACATTTACTTACCTCCTTAGAGTAACCATCCTTTAGAGCATAATGGCGTGCCATTACTCCAGATAGGGAGGTGAACTCTGTCACAACTGATGTTGCAAGATCGGACATGGCCAGTGCTGCAGCATTTTCAACAATGGGAAAAACATCCTCGCCAAGGCCCAGTGCAAGAGCTAATTTAACAACTATATTCTGGACACGTGCAATCTTGTCGAGCATTGTCCCTAACTTTTCCTATTCATTTTGAATAATCAAACTTCGTCACAGCAAATCCAATAAAAAATGCAAGATAAAAATGGCCAACATACATGAAAGAGGATGCCATTCAGGTAACCTCGATATTCAGACAACTTCTTCTGAGTATCCATCTTATAGAAAAAGTTTGCATCCTCAAAGCGAGCTCTGATGAAGAAATTAATACATAAATAAAAAATCGTACTATCAACAAGAACCAAGGAAAAACAAAAAGACTGTTGAACTAAGTAGAAGGAAATAAAATTTAGGAACCAAGAATTGTAGACAACACTAAAACTAAACAATGAAACTTTCCGATTACTTCAATGCCACCAAATTCTAATCACCTATGTATTGCAAAATGAAAAAAGAAAGAACAAGCACCAAGGATAAAAGCAATCAATTTCAAACCTCAGCACAGCTTCATTTCCTTTTTGAACAACACTTTTGTTTAACATACCATTCGCAACCTAGAAGACGGCAATTAATAATGGGTCTAACGCAACTAAATATTGTTTCAACACATTCAAAGAACGAACAAAATTTCTTGAAACATATAAAAGTCCTCACAACTATAAAGAATGGAAGTAGCCTGTTGCTTGATTCATCAGTTACTGGAAAATACTTCTGGTATTTCTGCATCACCTGGACATTACAAAAAGTTGAAGATTAAGTCAAATTAAGATTTCCACTAAAGTTTATGTTCATTTCATTTTTTCATTAGCAAAGTCTTCAAAGAAGAAGTGTTCAAGTTTTCCACTCAGCACAATAAGCATGAACTTCAAATAATATATATTCAGGGGAAAAGATAAAATGAAGCAAGTTTTAAATTTGAATAAGTAGATAAATTCTTACAAAACATGTTCTCCAGAACACATTTGCAATCTCTAATTTTTGTTTGTTTTGAAAACTTAAAAAATGACATTTAGTTTTTTAATGTTTAGAAAAGTTTATGTTTACTTTGTGGGACTCTTCATCCATCAATAACTCTAGCTGTAGAAGCACCAAATTTTGAAATCTACAAGGAGACATGCCAAGGCTTGAGGGAGAACGATTATAGTCTCTAGAGATCAATATTTATGATGGAAAAAAAAAAAATTCAAGGGAGATCCACATGAATTTTGAGTTGCATAATGTTCCATTGATCATTTGGCTTCTTTACTTTACAATCCTTGAAATAGCTATAAGAATTTTTAAGCTAATTTATTTATCAAATTCTAAACATTAGATTTAACGGAACAAAGAAGCATTGAACAAAAATCATAAAGACGCAGATATTGGACCATGCAAACTAGTTTAGATTTGGGTGAGTTAAAGGACCAAATAAAATAACTAAAAAGCCTAAAACTAAAATCACTAAACCCAAAAATTCTAGGGATCATTTCATTGGTTGCTCAGCATCAACATTAACAAATAAGTTATGCTTTCCATAACTTTTTTTAAAACACGGGGATATCATTACTTCCACAAGTCTTCCAAACCAAGTTCATACTATACTCAAAATATACAACAGTACATACAATATTTTGCCATAATCATATCATATCAACACACACACACACAATAAGGTCTAACTGAACGAAACTAGTCAGGGATTAATTTACTATTCAACCAACAAATGTGCTAAAGCTGAATTCTTAATTTCTATTAACCACGGTACAACAAAAATAAAAACAAGCCTCTATCCCACTAAGAGAGTTCGGTTACTTGAATCTTTTTTCTCCATTGTGCCCTATTGAGTGTCATATTTTTATTTAGTTCTAAGAGATTAAGATCATTTTTTATATAATAAGCCCAAAAATTTTTAGGTCTACCTCTATCTTTCTTAACATATGCAAATCTAAAACATCTTCTCTCATAATCGGATCATCAGATGGTCAATGTTTAATATGACCAAACCATCAAAGACGGCCCTCTCAAATGTTGTCCTCAACTGGAGCAAAAAAAACCATACAACGGATATATTCATTTCGCATTTTTTCTCTAAGTGTCAAGCCACTCATCCACCAATGAATTCTCATCTCAGCAATACTTAATTTTGTTTTATGCTTCATTTTTAAAGGCCAACATTCTGTGTCATAGAGCATTGCAAGACTCACCATCATCTTATAAAATTTTCCTTTAACGTCCCGTTTTCTTAACCAAAGGAGAGGAAATGAAAAAAAAACAAAAAGAAGAAAAAACAAGGAGTCGGACAACGAAGAATCGAAGAAGAAGAACTGAATAGTTAGACACCGAAGAGGGAGAGGTGAAATGAAAGGTACGGGTAGTCGGAAATGAATAGTTAGACACCAAAGAGGGAGAGGTGAAATGAAAGGTACGGGTAGTCGAAGATATATATTCGGGTATATATGCATGCATTGAGGGATGGTGGAGGCAAGTTGACAGACAAAAATTAGGGCATTCTGTAGCCGAAGGTTGCGACGTCGACAAATGGCGACGTCTCTGTCAAGCAAAGAGGAAGAAGAGGGAGCCGTCGACAGCATCAAGGCTTGTTGAGCCACTGAAGAGGAAGAGGGTGACGACGTCGTCGAGCTTCAAGCAAGGCAGGAGGCGCGAGAGTAGAGCCCGTGCCCTAGCCTACCAACAAAGAAGAAAAGGAGTGGAGGGAGCATCCTAGAGAAGGAGGAAGGTTAAGTTCATGTGGGTGAAGGAAAAGTAATTGAGCATAAAAAGAGGAGACAAGAAGCTAGCGTGCAAAGGAAGAAGAGATTTGTGTGGGTGCTGAACTAGGCTGAGCTTTTGGTAAGGTCAAAATTATAGGTTTTGTATTTTAATATTATATATTATCTGGTTATATATGTGTAATACCATTAAATATAATAATAATATTATGAAAGATTTAATTGAAATTTGGAAATAAAGTTTAGAGTCACTTTTCTGAGCGGATATTTATTGGATATTGAATAAAATCATAAATGTCCATTTAGTTGAAGTTTTGATAGTTAAATTAAAATAACATGATATCTTAAAATAAAGCTTCTAATCAATAATTAAAGTTACAAAAATAATTAAAAGATTAATTAAACATAATTAATAATGTGCAAAAGATTATACTTTTACAATATTGTAGGAAACTAACTATTGAACGCAAAGATTTAACATTTTTGAAACAAGTCATACAACTTTGAGGTAAGTACTCGTATTTTTAATCTATAGTAATAATTTATTTCTTCCCAATAATTAACTGTTGATGATACATGCACGTGCTTTATTCTAATTGAAATACTTTTCTTCATCAATCATATTGTTATGAATATTGTAGCTACTTACTCTCATGCAGCAAGTGTATGCTTTATAAAGTATGCTCAACTGAATGCAACAAATATACGAATAAAATGTTTATGTTGATTGTTTGTATGTGAATGACTGACTATGATGGAAAAAAAATATTAATAGTACTAGTGAGAGAACACTAAGGTACTCGTGCACGTATATAAAAAAAACACTGATATTAACGTGTCTTAATTGACATAATTTTTAGATGGTGTTGTGATGGTTATATAAATATTAAATTATAATAATATGCTAATGATATAGTAAAAACATGTTAAATAACATCAAATATTTATATCGATTTATTAAACAGTTTAACTAGCACGCATATTACTTCTTTTTTCGTGTATTACTGTGATTTATGGTTGCAAGTATTCACTGATTTGTTAAGCTCACAGTTATCTTAAACTAACTTTTTAAGTAAATTTAAAGTGATTTAAAAGATGAGTGATAAAATGGAAAACATTTATAGAAAATGCAGACAACCAGTAACGAGGTGATTTTAATCATTCTGTTTTAATTTATTTGATTAGTAACTCTTTCATCTGTTAAATTATATATTACTATAGAAAATTTAATTCACACCGTCTGACCTTCTATACCCAACTTAGTAAATTCCAAGCTCTGGATCGAATCAGGACAAAAGTGATATACAAGCCCAAAGTTTAGGTTTATTTAATTGGATATAGACGAAAGAGCCAATAAGATTAATATAAGAAAATTTCAAAACTATTAAAATAATTATTATCCATTTAGAAATAGTGAAACACTCAAAATTATAGAAGATGAAAATATGATAGAAAATAAAGAAATACGACCTACCATAAATGTGAACACAAATGATGTCGGCGATGACTTAGTTGATTCAGAAATCCAGATCATAGCCTATCAGAAGTGAGACAATCATTGTTGATAAGTATTTGAAGATGTTTCAAAATTTGCATCAAATTTTATTCACGAAAACTGAAGAACGATTGAGGCGGAGAATTAACTAATGAGGATATGGAAGATACTAGATAGCATGGCCTTTTTGGATGAAAGAAGGGTACTATCGACAATGTTTGTGCTAGATGGAGAAGCAGAAAGGTGATGACGTAGGCAACATCAGGACAAGTTAGAGGACATACCCAACACGATGACAAGTTGGGAGGAGTTTGTGGACCTTTTTAAAGAGTGGTTTGTATATATATCCACTCGAAGACAGATGCAAGACAAGTTAATCAAGTTGAAACAAAGAAAGAGACACTCATGCGGTACGAAGCAAAATTTACTGCACTATTGAGGTATGTGTTATAGTTGATCTCTACTGCAGAAGAAAAGTGATACAAATTCCTTTCGGGATTAAAAATTTGATTAGATAGCAGTTGGCACCTTTAGGAATCGATGAATACTCGATATTAGTAGAAAGAGCTAGAAGATGAAGATCGACTATCAGGTTACTCTTAAACGTAAGGAGATGCGCAAGAGAAAGAATGTAGAAGAATGTATAGATCACTCTGAATGATCCAATGAGAAGAGTCCCAAGAATAATTTGGAAGGAGTTAGCAGAGGTGTGACTCAAGGTACTAGAGCCACTAGTGCCAAATGCGGAATACAATATAAAGATGAATGTTTGATGGGCTCTAACACTTGCTTTTAGTGTTATCAGCTTGGTTACATAGCAAGCTATTGTCCATCTCCTGGTCTGAAGAGTACTGAAGATCAGAAATTGACTAAAGCTCATTCACAGAAATCCACAGACGAGCAGAAAAAGATAAAAAATCCATAGCTTCAGCTCCGACCCATGATCAACCAAGACAATCTAATCGACCTCGAGTATATTTCCTTGCTTAAACTGAATCTGAAGAACCTACTGTTGTGAATGGTGATAAGACCTAAAGAGTGTAGTGTTCTCTTTTATATATATAGGGCATTTTCCTAGTATATTTTATTGCTTCAATATTTTGTTTTGAAGTATAGTTGAGTCACCTTGTATTAAATAATTTCCTTTATAGTCATTAAATTAATCAATTACCCAAAATTTCATAGATAGCTAACGTTCACCTGCTTAATGAGAAATAACTTGAGATATATTTATAATTTGGGAGACTAAATTTTGTAAGTAGGGAAGATTATAATGCCCTGTTTTCGTAACTGAAGGAGAAGAAATGAGAAAAACCAAAAAAAAGAAACGAGGAATTCGGCAACAAAGAAATGAACAGTTAGAAGCCTAGGAGGGAGAAGTGATGTGAGAGGTTTAGGTAGTCGAAGAGATATTATCGGGTATAGATCTACGTGTTGGGGGATGGTGGAAGCGAGTCGACTTACCTTGTTAGTCGAACAGCAAAAGCGAGAGACAACAGGTGCAGCTTAAGGCATCTCGTAGCGAG